AAGTTGCTCATAATGGACAGTCTGTTGTTCGCACAAAACCGCAACATCATCATGTCGTTATTGTTGAGGTCGCAATGGCTGTTTTATCCAAACTCGCCTTTTCAGTGTTCATTGTCTCTTCTGACATTCGCATTGAAATCGCCTATTAGAGTGATCAGTTGCGCAGTCGGTACTTCATGCAGGGTACTTTCCACTTCCTCCTGGAAGATCTCATATTCTTCCTCCAAATTGGGCTCATGAACCTATGACAAAGTCAGTGCTTTAGGCTGTTGTAACATTATCCTGATGATTGCCACTGCTCCGCTGACAGACTTCTAGTCAGCTAGTTTGGTTTATACCAAAACATTAACGCCAGCCTGACCGCTCATTGCGGATTCGACTCGTGACTAGAATGGCTTTCAGTCTCAAAGGTTGAGATTTCCACAGTTCTGTTGCTTCGTTGACGAGAGTTCAACTATGTCCATTCGATACTTTTCGGCGTCATCACTTAACTCCGTCTGCTTCTCTCTGAGCGAGGAGATGGTCTTATTTTCGGCTGTGCGTTCCCACTATCCGTATCGCTCCAATGGAGCCTTATTTGATGCGCCTTTATGGAATCGCGCTGCCTGCTTCTTCCGGTACAGACAGAACGGGCAGCGGATTCATTACCGAGTTATATCGCCTCCACTGTGGTGTTATGCCTCCATCTGCTAGAGGGAGAGAACCAGATTCTGATCGCCAACTTTGCGCAGCCTGCTTCAGTCTCCCAAAAGCCTGCGCTGCCCTTGGTAATGCTGGCGACGACCGAGCCGGTGTAAAATTCGATGACGGCAGTACAATGATGGGCAGGCATCTATCTTACGGGAGACGTCGCCACGGTCCCCATCCTTAATTCTTTCTCATCCGGGCTTCTGATTGGCGACGAAGGAGTTGCGCAAAAACCAAATTTTCCAAAATCGTTCAAGCGTGTTGAAATGAATTAGATAAATCTGAGTTTAAGCAAACTGTTAGGGCTTCGAGGTAAAGCCAGAGGTTAACGTTCCTTCTTCATGAATAATAATGCTATGGAAATTGGGAGGAATGCCGAAGAAGTAGCAGGAATCGTCAATCATTACTGAGGCAGAAATCCTAGTTAAATAGTAAGAGTGATATCCAGCGTTTATTAGCACCAAAACATATTCAATCCCGTTGGTTAGAATTACATATGCGGCATATAAGTGTCACTCTTCTGATTTGCGTGGTGAAACCACACCCTTTCATGAAGAAGAACGGGGAGACTATGACATTTTGCATCCATACAGTCTAAATGTCATAATATCATGGCACCGTGGCTTGCCTTAAAGATCTGTTGAGCCTGTAGAAACAAGGCTATGGAGCTCTTACACCGTGTTAATTCGCTAATATATAAAATTCTGCTTTGTCTTCCTTTTCCGTTGTTAGCCATTGTCATTCCAAAGGTGTGCAATTCTGTTTATTATTTCACGACCTATAAATGTCACCATTTTAACTTACCCAAGGAAGGTCATCTTAGAATAATCTCAAGCAGAGATTCTGCCAGCTAGGAAATTCTGTGATGGAATTCCATTGGCGGAGTCAACTTTTACGGATATTGTGTAAAAACTAAGTTTTTTCAAATGTCATTGTTTCTCCTTCCTTGCCACAAAAAAAGAAATTGTTCCATAAAGACCGTGTAATTGATTTTACGCTCTTCCACAGAATAAAAAGGTTTCAAGTATTATGGTATTGCGATAGGTGAGAATTGTTAGAAGCGCATTAAAGCGTTTTCCTGCACTTTTGGGTACGGTTTTGCACGAAAATGGGCGCAAGCGAAGCCATAGTGCAATAAGGCAAATTTCAGTAATATTTTTTAAGTTTCGCTGTTGGCAGATTTACTGCTTTGATGTACTCCAGTAGACCAGTTCCGTTTAAACAGGAAGAAAAGCATGCAACAGTTTTAATGTTGATGCCAATCACATTTTCATGATGAACGTCATTTTGGGGGTGGGGTTAAGACAGTTGCGCAATCGGACAGCAGCATTACAGAGGCGGCAGCTTTAAGCCTGGCGTAAGTTTTCTTTATAGATAGCTGGTTTCCCTATGGAGGGAACGAACTTGCTCCAACCAGCTGAAAGATAATAGGGACAGCACGTCCGTGACCTGCGGAGCATAGGGACAGAATGGTGTTCTGATGTGATCACGCCAGAGTGGGCTATATTTATGATCATGCCGAGTATTGTGTGCGCTTGACGCTTGCAACCTGTGTTAACCCTCCCACCCTAATTATGTGTTAGCACAAAACGTGAATCTGAAATAAAATAAATTTTGGCAGTTTTCTTTATATCAGCCAGGAATGCAATACTGCTCAGAATCCGCTGCAGCATACGGTGTCATGTTTTTTTAATGTACTAACTAATACGCACTGATCTGCCTCAAAAAGACGAATGACGTGCAGCTGAATCGGTATTGGAAGTGGTGGTCCTGCGATCTGAGTTCAGAGATCAATCCGTCCATGGAGTATTAAATACATATTAATAAAAGTATCAAAAAACGAGTGGCATACTTATATTGCTGTAAAAATTGTATTTTATAACGCGATTCAATATACTGAACTCCATCTTACTACTTTATTACCGAAATGTTATTCACGCATGGCGGCACTGATCAGAACGCCATTGGAGTTGGCTGATTGGTAGTCAGAGATTCTCCGTTAGGGTCAAGGTTCAGGTTATCCAATAGTTTGCCGTTTGATAGCAAATGGATGTTGCATTGGAAGTGTTACTGCGATCTGTTTGAAGTGTGTCATTCTGTAGGGATGGCTAACCGCCACGAGGTGTCAATCTCATTCAGCTACTGAGAGGTAAAAATTATCTCCTCTCTTGCAGCCATACGGCAGACCAGATTCCATTCCTCACACTGGGTTTGTTAAGCTTCTGCAACGTCTCAAACTTGAAACAAGTCAGAGAAGCCGTTGTAAGGCTGAGCCAATCGAAACAAACGTTGTTCTTTTAATCATACATGAAGATATATGAAACTAGAAGCGAAGTAAGTCAGAGTAGTCGAACTCAAACTTTTGATGAGGTCGAATCTTACTTCTTCGTTAGGTAACGTTCAACGTCAGGTTAACAACCAGTTTCGAGTGTTTGCTTTCGCCGATTCTGGTTCCCAACGATTAAAGCGAAAATCGAAGAGGCGCCGGCGGCGGTGGTAGTTGGGAGGACTTCATCAGCATCATCGTCCTCAGGTAGTAACTTGCGGTCGTTGTCGCCCTCGTTTCTTTCCGCATGTTCGAGTAACGTCGGAGCGCGAGCGCCAACCTCTTCGCCTACTGTTTACCTTCGACGAATTAAGTTTTTTTGGGAAAAATTTTGTCTGTAGTTCGCCAATCGTTGACTCGGCATTCCGACTGATCGTACTGAATATTTCATCCGAGTAAACAGCGCATAACTGACAGGTTTTTCGTCTACCTCAGCAGCAGCTGAGCGGACGGGCGTCAAACAACTCGTCGTCCGTCCATTCGTCCTTCCGTCGGCCCGTTCGTTCGTTCGTTCGTTCGTTCGCTCGTTCGCCCGGCGGTCTGGAAGCTGGCCCTAAAAATTTCTTGAGTCTGTTACGGCGTCGTCGTGAGTGCGCAGAACGAAGAACGTCGAAAAAGCAAATTTACTAATAATAACTTGCGTCACAGCTGTTTGAATTTATGATGCGAAAGTGATCGCTTTGAGATACCACTTTGTTGGAGCCGCTTCAGAGACTCGTTGACGAAACGACGACGGCAAGGCAACGATATCATATCGACAGAGTTCAGCAATAAGACGACGACGACGATTGCGAACGACCGGAAGCGATTCGCAACTCGCAAACGCGATCTCGTCTCGTAGACGTACATCGGAGGGCTTCGATGCGCGGCTAACCACCATCAGTAAGCTGAATTTTACTTCTTTCGCATCAGCACTCCAAGTCGATAGAAATTCCAGAACATGTTCTTCTAAACGGAACTGATCCATTTACACACCAAGATCATCAACTGACCAGTGCTTACGCGCCTTCTGAGGTTAACGCTCGACCGGTGTCCGC